TATAAACTTTATAACAGATCTTTCTTTAAGTAGAAAGAATAGAAATTTATATAATATAGTTCTGATTATTGTGAATTGATTTACAAAACTTACACATTTTCTTGCATATAGAAAGAAGATTGACATACTAGAGATAGCAAATCTCTTGCTAAAAAAGATGTTCAAGAACTTCAGATTTCCAGACAATATTATCTTGAACTGAAAATCTGTTTTTACAAGTAAATATTAATCAGGGCTATATTTCTACATGAAAGTTAGATGAAAACTTAGTACAGCATTTCACTCATAAACAGATACCTAAATAGAGACATTAAACAAGATCTTGAAGAGATATCTTTATAGTTATTGTAATTATAGACAAGATAATTGAGAGAAGTAGCTTATGTATGCAGAGTTTGCATACAACAGATTAAAACACTTCATAATACATGTCTCTGTTTAAAGTGATGTATGGCTTTAAATCTAGAGAATCAGATAAGACTCAGAAGTTGACTAATAATATACAAACAATGCTTAATAGAAGACTGAGAATAATCTCTATATTAAGAAATAGTTTATTATTTAGTGAAGACAACTCAGTTAAACTATATAATCAAGTTTTCAAACCAAAAAGACTAGTGAGATGATTCAACATTTAGCTTGACAATACTCTTACTTTCAAGAACCATGTTGAAATTAAGATATCAGCTGCTGAAAGAGTTCTTAATCAAATAATTAAACTCTCAAATACTGAAAAAGATCTTACCTTTCAAGCTATGAGACAACTTTATATAGCTTGTATTACTTCAGTAGCTGATTATGATGTTCCAATTTGGTAAAAGAATCAAAAGAATCTTCTTAATAAGTATGAAAAAGTTTAAAACTCTGCTTTAAGAAAGATTCTAAGAGCTTTTAAAACTTTTCTAATTTATACTATAGAGATTCAAGCTGCTATTCTTTCTGTCAAAGTAAGAATTAATAGACTATACAGAAACTATGCTTATAGAATATTAAAAATGTTAAAAAAATATATAATCAGAGAAAGAGTATCTTCTAGCTTTCCATCTTATAATAATGATGTTGATCTTGATTAGGGAATGTTTTTAGATTAGAATTAATCAGAATTAAATAATGAATATGTTGAATAAACATCAACTAAAAAAAAAAGAAAAAGAAGAAAAATTAATAAACAAAAAAACCATTCAAGTTAACTATTCAGAATTTGTTCAATGATTTCAAACATATTATCTTCTCTAAAAACAGAGAGAATCAAAGTAAAATGGAATGCATCTTGATCTGAAAATCTAGCTGATTTAATAGATATTTAAATTGAAAATTCAGATAAGAAAACAGCTAAAGATAGTCATATAAATAGAACTAAAAATCTAGATAATAGATCTTTAATTCTCTATTCAGATAGATTTAAAGCTGACAAAAATTAATATGCTGGTGCTGGTGTATACAATCTACAAGATAATATTAGATTGTCATGAAATCTAGACAAATATCTTGAAGTCTTTGATGCATAACCTTTTGCTATAGATAAAGTATTTAAATTAGCAAGTTCTATCTCTCAGTCTTAATCAAGATCAATATCAGATATCTGGATGTTTTCTGATAGTCAAGCTACTATTTAGAGACTTATAAATCAAGATCTTAATTCTGACTTATATTATCTTTAATCTATAAGAAAAAATGCTAAGTATATTAAAAATCGGCAAATTAATCTACATCTTCATTGGGTTCCTGCACATATAAATATACATGAAAATGAAAAAGCTGATCTAGCAGCAAAAAAAGCTACAGAAATAAATTAAGTTTGTTTAGAGAGATATATATATCTCTCACTTATATAAAAAAACAAATAAAAGAACAAGCAATAATAAAGTAGTATAAAAATCTGTTTAATAGAGAAAGTTCTACAAATCACTACTTTTAATTCAAAATAACATTCAGATAGAAAGCATCTACTCTTTCTATATCTAAGAAGATATGGTCAACTATTTGCTAATTGAAGCTTGGTTATAGATATTTCAGATCTTTTCTAATAAGATTATCTGACTACTCTTCTAATTTATGCTATTTCTGCAATTATGTTAAACATCTAAAGCATCTACTATTAGACTGCTTAGCTTATCATACTAAAAAAAGAAAAATTTAACAAGAACTTGATGTTTCTTAACTATCTTTAAATTTTATTTCTGAAACTGAATTAGATTTAAAATAGCTAGTTTTATTTCTGAAATATACTGGAATAGCTACTAGATAGTAGCTTTCTAAAATATACTAATTTTATTTCTTTTTGATTTATATTACATTGCTACAAGAATTTTTATTTTTCTTGGAAATTGATATTATGTACTATCTGTTATTTGACTTTTATGAAGAAAGAACATCTTATATTATCTTGAAATACTTTGAATTTTTTCCTTTTTTCAGTTTCTACAATGTATACTAAGTAAATTCTAACAGAGAAGCTATTAGGTAGTCTTTATAGTTACTGACTGCATAAGACTATAATGAATAATAATAATAATAATAATAATAATAATAAAGAGATAGTCTGGTAGAATATTTGACAAAAGTAGAAAAAAATTAAGTATGATTCTATAATCAGAAATATCAAGACAAGATATATGTATTTGATAACAAAGTGATGTTGTTATCAAGAAATCTACAAATAATACACTCTTGTAAAAAGCTAGACAACAAGTACTATAGATCTTTCTCAGTAGTAGAAATTATAGAAAATAATATATATCAATTAAAGCTTTCTTCAATCTATCAGATTCACAATGTCTTCTATATCTCATTGTTGAAACTGTATTATATAAGAAAGAGTGAGGCACCAATATATTCTTCTGTGGTATTGATAAATAACTATCATAAGTGGGAAGTAGGCAAGATTCTAGACAACAAGCTACACTATTGCAGAAAGCATTATCTAGTGAAATAAAAAGAATGTTTTATTAAGAAATTAATGTAGAAATCTGAGAAAAATCTAGAAAATACATAAAAGATTCTTAAGAATTATCTACAGAAAAGGTAAAGTTACTAAAAGATAAACAAATCTATATACAAAAAGAAGACTAAATATGGCAGAAAACAAGATTTAAGATTATTACACATCATGAAATTAAGCAATTAATAACAAGAAGTGGTACCACAAGAATGTCTAAAGCACAGCTGCAACAGAAACAAGCTAGTTAAAGAGAAACAAGATTTGGAAGTTGCAGAAACAGATAGCACAATCACAGACAGTATAACAACAAACAGTGTAATTACAGAAGAAGGCACAACTGCTGAAGAACAAAGCACTTCTATAATACTTTAAAAACCAGAAGAAACAGTGTTGGTTAAACTATTAATAGAAGATGTAACAGGAGCCTACACAGAAGTCAGTCTGAGAACAAATAAAGATGGTGAAGCAAATTTATAAATCTAGTTTCTGCAGTTCTCTAAAGATCTTTTGCTTTACTTGTCAGATGAGTGATAAGATAGTTAAGCAAAAAGCAGATATTACTAATCTTATTTTCAACTCAAGACAAGACAACATAGACTGATGTTAATAAATAAAGAAGTGCAGACAGATTATTCTTGATAAATTTGATTTTAAATACAAGATTTACAGTCTTAGTTTGTTGAAGTGAAGTAGAATGACAATATTTCAAAAAAAATCTATTAGGAATAGAAGTGACTTGACAATAACAATATTTTGCAGCTCCAGAGTCAAGACCATGAAATTCTCATACTAAGACACTCATGCATTTTATATTATAAGAATAGTGCAGATCTGCAGCATTAAAGAAGTAATACTTCTCTTAAAGATGTAAAAGCCAATAGACAACATTAATAATGAACTCTGGTATCTATAGCTATGTCAGAACCAACAAGAAAGAATGAATAAAAAGTAATTACATTATAATAAGTATAGATTTGATACTCTAAATAATAAGTACAGAATTTCTTCTCAGAATCTCATATACAAGATTCAGCTTTATTTAAACAATCTGTAAACATTGAATATATACAGACAGAACAGAGAAACATGTTCTTTTTATTCTTAAAGACAAGATTCTTTAATAAAGACATAGTAATAAAACAGGATCTGAAGAAGATAGCAACACTTGCATCAAGATATAATAGAGAAAAGAAGAGAAAAACAATAATAAAGAAGTCTCTATTTATATCTGTACCATAACACACTAAAGTTGCTAGTTCTACAACTTGTTGATAAATAACATGATAACAGACAACAGATAACATAGCAACTAGACAAGTAAACAAACAAAAAAAACAATAACATGATGAAATACTAGACTTTTATAATAAAATAATTAATATTTTATAATAAAGAATACAAAGAATATCTACTGCAACTAGCAGTAATATATATGTAGGATGTCTATATAGACAAGTAGTAGAGATGCAGAAGTCTGCATATTCAAGAACTTACAATACTTCATTAATAACAGAGAAGCTATAATAACATACAAAAAACCACCTCAGTGGCTCTATATCTTAAAGTCTGAGATCTTTGAGAGAGGGATAGTGTTACAAATATAGGTCTAGATTAATCAAGCATCAGATAACATCAGATGTTCAGAGAACATCACATAGTTCATATCTCTGAATATATAAGAATCACACAATTCTCACAGATTATGGAAATCTCAGTATTCAGTCTTCTAGTTAGTGAATCTATACATTCTACACACAACCTTTTTCCATCAGTTGTAGGCATCAGATCTACTTAGCTCTTTCATACCTCAATTCTGGAACAACCCACAAGACCTATATTGGGTTCCCCTAACAGACATCTATCTGATAAAATCTACTATTAAAAAGTCTGAGATAGCAGAATAGCAAGAGATGCTTTCTAAACCTGATAATATATATTACTGTCAGTGAGTTTCTCTATAGTAGAGATATATACAGCTTTACTATGAATGAACGCATTATATATCTCTTTGATTCTCTGTCTGCTGATTGTATTATTTGAGCATTGACATATTTGTGCCATGCTATCAAGAAGTATGGGACTGATAGTTGTGAATATATTAGATTTGAGAGCTAAGCTCTGCAGGGTAAGTTACTTTACAAATACTAAATTGATTGATTTAAATGCTAACTAGTACTGTACTTTAATAAATATTTTTGAATACTTATAAGCTGTTTGAAACCAATAAACAGAAGAATAACAATTATATATTCACAAAATCATTCTTGATAAAGTAAGAGCTTATATAAAATAGAATGCTCAGAAGAAGAGAAAGTCTGCTGCTGCTGATATTATCAATAAGTATGAGAATAATTTAGATGATTTGGTGGAGCTGGACTTTGTGAAAGATACTAATAATAATAATGAGTACATATTATAGTATAGTGATATTGAGACCCTGGATGCTAGTACTTTAATTAGTCTGACATGAAGTTAACTTCAGTTTGTTGAATTATACTAACAGATGTAAATCAAACATGTAGAAGCTTGTTGATATCAAAAATATTGACTTGAAGTGTATCTACAGTCTTATAAACAAGATATCTGATATTGATAGAGACAATGAGACTGATGGAGACAACAGAGATGATAAAAATAATAAAGCTAATAAAGATAATAAAAAGAGCAGTTCTTATACTCTTGAGAATACAGAGTGTGAAAAGGTCAGAAAATAAAAATTAATGAGTAAAGCTTGCTATTCTAGCTATACAGCATGATTATTTCATGCTGTATAGCTAGATTAATAGTATTAAAGAGTGAATATGAGATTCTGTGTAATTATGTTTTTCATGTCAGTAGTAGTGGATTATCTGACTATATTACTAGATTTATTTTCTACAGCAAAGTTAAGAGCAGCATATTTATTATTGTCTCTGGTGTTAGCAGCAGCAGCATGAAATAAGAGATTAATGTATTTAATAATAGTGTTGTTTATATTAATTATAACAGTAATCATATAAGTAATACTATTAGTGAAGTGAACAAAAATATTAATAATATCTTTATTGCTATCATTAACACCAATGTAAAAGAAAAAAGCTAGTGTGAATCAATGGAAAATGACAGATCTAGTAAATATAACAGAGTTGTTGAAAATAATGACATTTACAGAACATGCTAAATTAATAGCAGATGCAGTAAAGATGCTCATTATATTAGAAGTTGCTAAAGACTATAGCAGAGAAAAATACTTACCAGAGTGAGTTTTGTGCTCACTCAGGATGAGCTCAGGGAAGTGATATAAGTACAGACATCTTGACTGCTCAGACACCCAGAGCTAGCCCCAGGTCTGATAGGGATTTGCTGATCAGTAATACTCCAGAATAAAAATCAAGAAGTCAATAATAATATAAAGTATCACAAGAATATTCAAAATATAGTTATAATGCAGATGAATCAGTAAAAGAAGACCTATACTCAGAAGTCTCTAAAGCAGATAGTGTGCCAGTAGATACTAAAAATATAGAAATATAAATTATAGATACAGAAGAGACTTCAGATAAAAATCAAATAATAAAAGCAGAACCAGAAAAATAATAAAGAGCACAAAGCTCATATATAATATTATAGAAGTCATCAGTAACTATAATAGTAAATTTATTAATAGCTGAAATAATATTCATCTATATAAAAGTCAGCAATGAACACTCAGAAATAACTAAATAGATATATAAAATTAGTTTTAGTAGTCTCTTAAAGCTTTTTTGTCTTACTTATCAGATAATCAATAAGATAGTTAGTCAAAAATTGTATATTTCTAATTTTTTTTTGAATTCAAAATAAAATAACATGAACTGAAATCAGTAAATAAAGAAAGCTAGACAGAATATTTTTAAGAAATTCAGAATCAGATACAAGATTCACAGACTTAGTAGAATAAAAAGAAGACAAACTGTTAAGAGAGCCCAATATAAATCTCATAGGTTTTCTTAGAATAGGGGTACAAAAGAGCTAAGTAGGTCTGATGCCCACAACTAATAAGAGAGAGTTGTGCATAAAACATATAGATCTGCTAACTAAAAGACTAAATGCTGAGGTTCTCACAATTCATAAGAATTACACAATTCTTATATATTCAGAGTTATAATTATGTGACATTCTCTGAACATTTAATATTATCTGATGCTTAGTTAGTCTAGATCTACATTCATAACACTATTTTCCTTTCAGAAGCCTTGAACTCTGAGGCATAGAATTATCAAGATAGTTTTTTGTATATCATTATAGCTTTTCTGCTATTGGTAGAGTGTTGTAGATTCTTGAATGTGCAGGCTTCTGCATCTCTATTACTTATCTATATAGACATTCTGCATGCATATTGCTATCAGTTGCAGTAGACATTCTTCATTATAGAATGTTAATTGTTTTATTACAAAAGTCCAGCATTTTATTACATTATTATTTCTTTATTTGTTTGCTTATCTGGTTGCTATGTTATCTGTTATCTGTTGTCATGTTATTTATCAACAAGTCAGAGAACTAGCAACTTTAATGCATTATAGTACAGGTATAAATAGAGGTACTTTTGCTCTTGTTCTTGTTCTTCTTCTTTTTTAATTATATCTGGCCTACAGCTTCACAATGTTTACTTTCCAGATTCCTGTTCTAAGTGAGAACAAAGATATTCTCTCATGTTTGGTGTGCATTTACTTCATGTTTACCAATTGTTTTGGAAGTCATCATGCATATAAAATATGAAGTAAAATTCTTGTGAGCATTGTTTAGAACATGCCACTTATAAATACCACAATGTACAAGAGTTTTGACTTATTTACTTTGCCATTCTAACATGAGTATAGATTTATAAGTCTTCAATCAGTCTTGTTTAAAAGTTATTATGTCTTTGTGAATATTATTTAAACCTTGCTACCACAGATTCTCATCAAGCAACTCTTACAAGAAAGATGTATAGTTTGATACATGATTTGAATCCTGGTGCTGCAAAGTGTCAGAAGAGTTTAATCAAGAAAATGTATACTTTATATTATTGTGTCTTGTTCTCAATTGCTGGTTCTTCTACAAAATGTTGTTGTTGTTTAACACTATTATCTAATAATATTCTTTACATTTCTCCTGATGCTATCTGTAATGATGATACTTAAGAGTTTTCACACTTTCTTACTTTCATTTATACTAGAATATTACAGATTGAAGTTAAAGTAGAAAATGTACAAGTATTCATTAATCAGCTTGCTGCATGTTTAACTAGCAGAATGAAAGAGCTTTATAGTATAATTGAAACTGGTTTTGTATGTTTGCTTTATTATCTTTGCTCATTCCAGGCTAATTTTTGTATAGATCAATATTACATCTTCTATTAATAGTTTACCCAATGCCATTACCTCTAGTTTCTGGAGTATTGTGAAAGTACTTTGTTCATCTTAATATTCTTCAGCTGCTGTATCTTCTTTCATGACTGTGCTGTCTGTTATGGTGCTGTCTGTAGTTGTGCCATCTGTTTCTGCAATATCTGAATCTCATACATCTTTAACTGGCTCATCTCTGTTACAGCCACACTTTAAGCACTGTTATAATATCTCTTCTCATTATTAATTGCTTGATTTCATGACATGTGATGATCTTTAAGTTTGTTTTCTATCATGTTTAGTCTTTTTTTTGCATATAGATTTATCTGTCTTAGAGTGGCTTTGCCTCTTCTGTAAATAATTCTTAATAACTTCTTGTGTATTTTCAAGATTTTTCTCAGATTCTCATATTAATTTCTTAATAGAGAATTCTTTTTACTTCATCAGATAATATTTCTTACATTAGTATATCTTGTTGTCTAAGATTTTATCTACTTCTTACTTATGATAATCATTTATCAGTACTGTAGAAGAATATATTAATATCTTATTCTTTCTTATGCAATATAGTTTTAATAATAAGACATGAAAGATGTTATAAATCTGATAGTTTAGAGAGAGCTTCAGTTAATATGTATTATTTTTTATAGTCTCTACTACTGAGAAAGATCTATAGTACTTGTCTAACTTTTTACAAGAGTGTATTATTTATAGATTTCTTGATAACAATAGTATTTTATCACCAGATACATACATCTTGTCTTAGTATTTTCAGTTGTAGAACTATGCTTGATCTTTATTTACTTTTATCAAATATTTTACTAGACTATTTCTTAATATAAAGATTATTTTCAGTCTTCTGTTAAGTATTGTCTGTACATTATTAGTCAACTTCTGAATATTATCTGATTCTTTAGATTTAAAGCTATACATTGCTCTAAATAAGAATATATATATTATAAAGTATTCTGATCTGTTGTATACAAACTCTGTATATATAAGCTACTTTTCTTAATTATCTTGTCTATAATCACAATAGATATAAAAATATCTCTTCAAGATCTTGTTCAGTATTTCTGTTTAGCTATCTGTTTGTAAGTGAAATACTGTGCTGTTTTTATCTAATCTTTATGTAAAAATATAGCTCTGACCAGTATTCACTTATAAAGACAGATCTCCAGTTTAAGATAATATTATTTGAAAATCTGAAGTCTTTAAATATCTTTTTCAGCAAGAGATTTACTATTTCTGGTGCATTGATCTTCTTTTTAGACACAAGAAAATGTGCAAGTTTTGTAAATTAATTCACAATAATCAGAACTATATTATATGAATTTCTCTTCTTCTTACTTAGAGAAAGATCTGTTATAAAGTTTATAAATATTAAATACTAGAGACTACTGAATATTGATAATAGTGCAAGCAGCTTATATAATTTGTGTATTGAAGTCTTCTCTTGTTAACAAATTTAACATTTATATACATATATCTGAATATCTTATCTTATTAAATACTATTTGTATTTTTGCTAGAGGAGGACAAATGTCTTTGTCATACTAAAGTAATGCAAATAAATTATTATGGTAAACTTATAGTAGTTTCTGTCTTAGAACTAGATTACTGAAAATGTACTCTTTATTAAAAAACTTTATTTGTTTATTTTTTACTTCAACTGCTAGAATTCTATCTTGATAAATCTTACTTGTACAGAGAGATTGTTTTTCTGTATCTTTAGCAATAGATTCAACATACTTATAGTTAATTTATTATCAATCTTTTTGTTTTTTGTCACCATGTTCACATACATACAGGAAATTCAGAATCTTCTGCAATTTCTATATTAAGTCTCTCCAGCATCTCTGGCTGGTGCTCTCTGAACTGACTTAACCATCTTAATGCCATTAAATCTCTCCTGCACTATCTCTATCTTACTGCTTTAGACAGTATAAGTAGCACATCTTTAGATATCTTCTTTATTAAAGAAAGTTTCTTTAAATAAGTTCCTGTTATAAATGTAAACCTAGACTGAACCTTGCATCAGACAATATCAGATGTTCAGAGAACATCACATGGCCCATACCTCTGAACATATAAGAATTGCATGATTCTTATAGATTGTGGAAATCTCAGCATTCAGTCTTCTAGTTAGCAGATCTATACATTTATGCATGACTTTC